AGAGCTACAATGGAATGGTTTAGATCAAAGTGTATTCATGTGTTAGAATGGCCCAGTCAAAGTCCAGACCTAAATCCTATTGAGAATCTGTGGCAAGACTTGAAAATTGCTGTTCACAGATGCTCTCTGTCCAATCTGACTGAACTGGAGCTACTTTGCAAAGAAGAATGGGCAAAAACTGCAGTCTCTAGATGTGCAAAGCTGGTAGAGACATACCCCAAAAGACTTGCAGCTGTAATTGCAGCTAAAGGTGCTTTGACAAAGTATTGACTCAAGGAGGCTGAATCCATAGGCACGCCACACTTTTCAGATTTTTATTTGTAAAAAATCTTGAACACCACGTATCATTTTCCTTCCACTTCACAATTATGTGATACTTTGTGTTGGTCTATCACATAAAATACATTTAAGTTTGTGGTTGTAATGTGGAAAAATTCAAGGGGTATGAATACTTTTGCAAGGCACTGTATAACTCTTGGCAAATAAGTGCATTTCACACTTTTTTTCTTTTAGGGCACAAGTATATATTGCGATAGCTTAAACAGCTCACAGAGAGAAGACATACAGCAGCAGTGGCCTGGAAAGGGTTAAATGACATTTGTGGTTCATGTATACATATCCAGCGATGCTGATTGTGTGATATGTCTGGAAACATGGTGTCCCCTGAGTTCTGCGGAAAACCTCACCTGTTCTCCTGGAGATCTATTTGTGCTGGAGCTGAAATAATGCAGCCTGATGCAGAGGATACAAAAGCAACAGGGCAAACGGAAAAGGCTGGTATTGGAGGCTGATATTCACTATCAGCAAATGTTCTAATGAGGATGAGACGTACGGTATGTTTCAATGGCATTAGTGGGAAAACATCAGAAAGTAATGAAATGATGATAAAATCACATTATCCTTAATCTTGACCAGGAACACGCACACTGGGGGGAATAATGACCCTTTATCTGGATCTTGTTGTAGATTGGTATTGTTGTCACTTTCTAATTAGCATTTTACATTAAGTAGGCAGCTTCATTGGATCCCCTCCACTCTATGTGAACACAGGTTACAGTGCCTTTTCAACCCTTTGCTTTTGTTCTTTAAGATGCATTATTCCACGTAGCGGATAGCTGCACAGTGGGAAGAAGAAGTTTGTCACACAGATGTAGGCAGATCTGACTGGTGATTATCTTTCACCAAGGCTAATTAGAGTCATTTTAAAAGAAAGTCCATGTTTCTAAACACTAGCAATCTAATTAGAGTCATTTTAAAAGAAAGTCAGAATGTCATGGTAGCTGCGCTCCCCTTTTTCTCAGTAAGGAGGAAATGGTATTATCTTTTGATCCAGCTGACTGGAACCACCCTTTGATCCTACTTGCATTGTTACATTTTGTCTTTGGTAATAAACTTCCTTCCTTTCCCATCCCCTCCAAAATATGCTCCCCAATTTGTGCCTCAGCTTGTCCTTGAGACATGACCAAATGAGAGCTACAGTAGTGATGGCAGATGAAATGAGGGGACAGTGTGATGAATGACCTGGACCAAAGCCAGTGTGTGAGGGATAATTTAGCATGTGTTGTGAGCCCACCAGGAGGTCAGTGACAATCCAGCCACAGCAAGCAACCAGTTAATCAGGAGATGGAACACACTACACCAGGTTTCCTTTTATGCTCCAGGACTGGCTAACCTCACCTTACATGTACAGACAAAGTGATGCCTTGTGCCCTGTAATAAACCATAAGGTACCACTAACACAGTCATCTTCTAAGAGGTGAGCAAAGATAGAAATGACTGGTTGGGACTGGCTGGGTGCCACAATAAACCAGGAAATAACACCATTAGAACCCATATTTCTTCCCACTGGCTGTTCCTGCTTCTATCACTCATATTTTCTTTTCGTGAGTCTCTCATCTTTGATTCTCCTTGCCTTTTTTCCTACATTTGTTAGTTGTTTTGTTTTTTCCCCCTCCCAGTTTCTCCATATCCCCTTTTCCTTTTCCCTGCCGTTTGTGATATTGGCTGTGAAGAATGACACAGTTTAGCCTTAGTAGAATGAATGAACGTATGTATGGCACAAGGAATTTTTTTCCAACCTTGTGGTTGGAAGACGACTGCTCCACCCACTGCACCACGGTCGCCGCCAGATAGTTGAATGATAGATCCTTCTTAATGACTGTGGGCTCACCACAATGTTATCATAAACCATCCAGATATAGCTGATGCGTGAATGCACATGTGTATAAAATGGTATAATACCCACCCCACTTAGGCCAGTTGGTGCCAGCTATCTTAGCTCTAAGTGCCAATTAGAGGTGATTCAGGGAATGGTTGATGTTTGGTTGATGAACGGTTAACCTCTGCTCATTCAGAGCAGTGCAGCGCATATTTGGGACAGGACCTTAACATCCGGATATGCAGACACCCTCTCATCTCCGTCACTTTTATTATGGCTTTTATTTATAGAGCTGTTTATGTCTGGTTGTGTACCACATTAAATCATCAGGAATGCTTTTCTTCTGCTGTAATGCTCAGAGTGAGGTCAGAGGTTTAATGTGTAGTCTGTCTGGTAATTGAAATTACCTAATGTATTTTTTGTTTTATGTGTGCCTGCCTGTTTGCATTTCTGTTTCTGTGTATTGCAGGTGTGATGAAGATGCTCCACAGGCCAGGCAGCTGTTGTCTCTGACTCTGGACCGGGCGAGCCACACTCTGCTCCTTGCCTTCCCCTCCTGTGTGGTCAGAGTACCAGTGGCAAGGTGCCAACTCTACTCCAGATGCATGAAGTGAGTCTGAACCACACACAGGAACCTCCAAGTGCAACCAGGGCACCATAATCACAAGTTAAATGACCTTTCAGGAACCATCTGGCCTTCACAAGTGCCCTTGAGCAATACGCACTGAAGCCCTGCCCACTTCAGAGATGCTGCTCTGTAGCTGACATGAATTTGCCTGCAATAATAACACATTACACAAAGACATATGACAACTTAATAACTGTCACTGGACGCTTGAGTGAGGTGATAACTTGCTAGCTGCTCTATAACACTGAAAGGAGTCAAAACCCAATAAAATGTCTCTCTAAATGGGAGGAAATCTATAATATAAGTGGTTGGTATACTACACCATCAAAAGTAATTTTGTATTTCCACAGCATGCAATTTTAACTTTACCTTACATACAGTATTATTTTACAGTAACTGAGGATGGTAACACTATTTACTGACAGTGTAACATGTAATATAGCAAATAAATTCTAATGATCACTGATTAACTCATTAGAGCAGTCAACACACATGATCTATACAATAGTTGATTCATATTATTATAATACAATATAATCTGGTGTTTCAGTTATAATATACATATATGGCATAGTTTGTATTAATTTAACAATATTCCCTTTAGCAACTATTATCATTCTTTTTTCATTAAGCACTTAATTTATAAGACACTAGGGGTGTAGCAATGCATCATGGAATGATGCATTGTTAATGTGAAAAAGTTATCACAATATCACGTCAAGATATTCTATGTAATGTTAACAAGAGGAGGCAATAGGCCAGATCTTGACTGATCTATTGTTGACCCTGACTTTCAGTAGGGTTAGCTACACTAATCAACAAAATTAAGGGAATGTTTGAATAAGAAACAAAATGTCTGAAAGCAGTTTTTATGAATTTACATACTTAAGGAAAGTAAATGACTGTTATCGTGAGTGTATCAAACTGCAGACCCTGTATCCTCTGTTGAACTGAATCACGAGCTGGTTGTATTGTTACACTCTTATCAGATACAATAGTCGGCCATTTTGTTAGTCTGCTATCTTGGTGTCAGTGTTTAATTTTCAATGTGCTCAGGGCAGTTCTGAAAAAAATGACCCTGAGTCTACTAATCCTGCATAACAAACCATAAAAATGCATATATTCCAAGTAATGATGTTTCGCCTGTGTACAGCCACACAAGCACCATACTCTCTTGCTGACTCATGCACTTACTGAGCCTTGATGCTCATGGCTGTGGTCGGTTAAGGTCCATTAACATAAACTGGTACACAGACCAACCAGCTCATCAGGTATGCAGTGTGTTCACCGAGGCAGGTGAGTCATGCAAGCATGTAATCAAGAGCACCTTAAGAAATGCTCACATACTTTCTAAGGTGGTAAGCGTTTGGAAGTGTGAGAGTTAATGTTGTGAGCATGTTCAAAATTTCTTAGTCTCGCTTCAGCAGCTTCAGGTTTGGTTTTTAATCTCTAAAAAGTGTTTGAGAACTTTAGAATTTTGTTCAGAATGGATGACGTATGGGCAGCTTTCAGCCTAAATGGCACGACAGGCATGGACCGTTTCAGAAGTTCTCCTTGTTGCATTCAAGGACGTCTTGACTTGATATTTTATATACTGACTAGAAATATATGGTGTAAAAATGTCTAATATATTAACCATGTTTCTGAAAACCAAATATAAGGGACAAGTTAAAAGCAAAATGGATATTGCAGCTGTGGCTCAGGAGGTAAAGCTGGTTGTCTTTTAACCAGGAGGGTTGACTTTTCGATACCCAGGTTCTCTGGTCCACATTGTCATTGTCCTTAAGCAAGACACTGAACCCAAGTCGCCCCTTTTAGCTGTCCCACTTGGCTGAGTGCTTGTGAGTGCAAATGGGTGAATGAGTTAACAGTGTGAAAGTGCTCTGTGTGTCCTTCAATGTACAGAAAGTGCTATACAAATGTTAAGACACAAATGGTTAGTTGTGGAAATTTGATGAGTTCTTGTGTGTAAAAGATCTATGCTTTCCAAACTCTGTGTCTGGATTTTCTAGAACTAGTCTGAGATCTCACATTGTACTTTTCTAGAACTTTCAACTGAAGCTTCAACTCTTTCTCCATGATTTTAAGATTGTGAGATGGGATTAGAAACTCTGGGAAAAGCTATTTAAACCAGCTATTTCCAAATTCATGAGGACCTTTTCTTGCTCAATTCCTAGAACTATTTAATTCCCTAACATCCCTGCTGTCAAGTGCATTACCTTGCCGCATTGTTGTACCTTTGACAAAGTATTCACGGTGACAAATGACACTTAACCAAGCTTCACGTCATCACAAATTGGAAATCGGTGGCCTCCTCTATGATGTGAAAGTACAGGTATTTGTGAGATGTGACTATCTGAAATCTGTGAAAACATCAGTATTGTCCATTCAGTTGCAGTCAAGATGAAGAGCAGAGCCTGTGAAAAGTCAATTTGTGCGTCTTTGCAGGAACTGTATTGCCTCCAGGGATCCTTACTGTGGCTGGACCAGAGGAAGCACCTGCTCTTTCCTCCGGCCTGGGACCAGGTACTGTATGACACCTCTCAGTTTTACATCACCATGACTCACACACTGTTTACACAGCACTGTACCTGCTGTGTTCATACCAACACTGTGGCTGGTTTATTCTTCTGTTTGTCCATCTGTAGTTTCTCCACGTTTCTTAGTTTTCTCTTTGATCCAACAGTTTTGTTATTTTGATTTATTTCTGCCTCAGTGTTGTTTTTTTGACAGCATGCTTGTAGACATTTCTCATATATAATTCATCTAATCTGAAAGTCCTTCATTCTGTGTGCAGCTATTTGAGCCTCTGAGTAACATCTGTGCCCTCTAAGTAGCCTGTTACACAGCCTGTTCTGTGTACACTTATTGATCCAAGATGTGAAATGCTGTTAAACAATTCTATGCTCTTTCACACCGATTCACATGTTCTTTGATTTATTATCAAGTGGTTTTCATCTAACATTGTGTAGGGGTGTGTGACTGAATACATAGCTTTGTATTTGCTTTTCTGGTGCACATCTGCCCGGACAGCGTGTTGTCTGGGTGTATGTATAAATATGTCTATCTGCCTTCATTTCTGCATGTGCATGAATGCGCGTTTGTGCACGTGTTTGTTTGATATTTCTCTCTTCCTGCTACTGAAACATGGTGTTCTTTCTTGACAGCTCAACTCGGCCGCCGTCCTCCAGCAAAATCAAATCTTTGTTTAGACAGGCTGCTTATTGAGTTAGGCTTAGGTGTAGTGCCAGCAGAACAGACAACATGGGCCTTAAAGACCACCTCAGGCTGCCTACTTGTACTATTAAAGGCCTCTGATTTGATTTACCAAGGACGGTCAACTAGGCAATCGATTTTGCATTGAGTTACTGTGGATTTCCTCTTTGTGGAATAATGCAGCCTCTTTTTGCAAACTGACACCAGATCAGCAGCTGGATATACTGTATATAACATCAGACTATAGTAGAGGCAGTTTCTGAGGAAGATATGTTTTGTATTTTTTAATTAATTGGTGGGGGTGGTGGTCTGTTCTCGCTCTAACTTGTGCCAGTGACGCTATCATGACAAAACAAGTGTTTATCCTTTACTATTAGATAACTTTGTAAACAATTCATTACCTTTTTAATTGTTTACTATCTGTTTTTTCAAAGTTGTTTTTAATCAAATAACTTGTTTTATTAAACTAGCTGAGCTGCTCCACCCTCTTTCCACATTCCTCCTGGCAGAAGTATCCCTGGGGGTACAAATATCTAGCAATTTTTACTGTGCCACTGACCATAGCGATCAACATACATGCACAACACAAGGTCTTCATCACTTTGCTTTATTATATAATGTAAAGAGAGGAAAAAACATGCATGCACAGACAAACTAAAATCCACAGTCTCTGAGAGGCAGCCAGTAGAATGAAAAATCTTTATTCTTAAGGTGAGAGCCACTGTATGCTCATGGCACAGTTGAACTCACTTGACATAGTGTTTTCTAGGCATTAAAAGTACACATGTTGGCTGTGCTGCTGCCTGAGCCTTTAGTTAACTGTAGATTACTGACTTCTCTGAACTCGGTTCAGCCTCCCCAGGCACTTTGTGCTCTGGTTCTTCAAAGGCTGTTTGTAGGCCAAGTGTAGGACTTCACAGTAGAACCGTGAAAACCCTGTCTTCAGTAGTTTTGACCATTTTACTGCCACAACAGATCAAGTCAAAAAATTGTATATTATTATAGTTCACGCTTTAAAGCCATCAGAGATTTAAAAAAAAATCAGTTCATTAAAGACATAGTTCAACACTTTGGGAAATACATAAACCCTTTCTTGTCTAGAAATACATCCAACACTCAACTCTATTTAAAATTAAACAAACAAGACAATGTGTTCATATAGGTGCTGGTAGATGAGGGTTGTTACTTTTAGACAGTCCTGCTGTTTTCCTCACTTTCTAGTCATTGCTGTCAGTCTTCTCAGGTAACTTACTGTAGCAAGACGGCAAATATGTGTATTTTCCAAAATTTCAAACTGTACCTTTAATGCCCTGACATCTAGTGTACACCTAGATGTCTGGGTAGAAAGTAATCTCCAGTGTTCAGGTAAATGACTTTTAAAGACACTACAGTTTAACCGAGACAATTTTTATGCCTTTCACAACTTGGTATTATTGCAAAGACCAAAAGCAACCATTTCTCATATGTTTTCTATAAATAAATTGATCGGTATTTTTACTCACATGGCTTTTATTGTTAATGTAGTCTGTACTGAATGAAGCCTACAAGCATATACATCTGTGCACACACACACACACACACACACACACACACACACACACACACACATACTTCCACACTTACTCATTCCCTGCCACTACGTTTATTTTTCTGCTGCTGTGATCCATGACTAAAAGCAGTTGTTTTTCTTTGTGAGCACCTGGTCTATGTGCTGTTCTCATTTCCTCTCTGCTCCTTAATTTCATCATATGTTTTTGTCCTTTGAGTTTTCCATGCTCCCCTGTTGCCCAAATGGGAAATGGGTTTTAGAGTTATAAGATACAGTATGACCTTGTTTATCTAGATTATAGAGAAATAAGTAAAGTTTGAGGTTTTGTTCAACTGATAATTTAACTTTTATGACAAATGACCTTGTCATATAATTATATTTCTATATAATCAGTTATAATCAAATTTTTAAGGACCTCATTCATGTTACATATACGGTGTGTATATATCTATGTGTGTGTGTGTGTGTGTGTGTGTGTGTATATATATATATGAAAAAACATGCATTAAATTACTGTAAATCCTTAATTATCACAGATCTGAGGTTTATATTTAAGTATCTATATCTAATGTGAAGAAATGTGTGCTGACCTAGAAATATTTGAAATTCAAATCATTAATTACAGTAGCTAAATTAATGACCCTGCAGGCACATGTGCTTATCTTTAAATTATAATGGTGATTAATGCATGATATCAGGCAGCTCAAGGGCCTCTTTACTTCTTTTGCTGTTTTAATATTTTTTGTCACTTCCTCAAAATAAAAACAAATTCCTGTAGTCTAAGTGATAAAGGAGCTTGTAGAGTGAGCTGTTCCCTTGTAACCTGTCCTCGGCTATAACACTGAGATAGCTTTCCTCTATCAGACTGGATCTGTGCTGTGTCAGTGGCCAAGCTGCTGCACTTGTGTGTCTTCTGATTAATGACTGTATCACTTCTCCTCTGCAGACTGCCATTCGAGCAAGATGTTGAACAGGGAAACGTGGCCCACTTGGGCGACTGTGACGGTAAGAGTGATTTTCGGTTTGTGTGTACATGTTGCTCACAAGTGTTCAAACTAATAGCTCTCTTGTCTTGGCCCAGATCCTTACATTGCTTCAGGGTAAACAACAATACAGTAAAAGACAGAAAGAGCCCTGTAGTTTCAGCTTACACAGAGGAAATCTGCAAATAAACACAGAGGCAGTCCCAGTCCACCTCAGTGCTCCCTAGCATCTCACTTCTTCCAAGAGTAACCATCGAGATCTAACACCAAGATGACCTGCTAGTCTCATTTTGTCTCTGAGCTGGCAACAAAATCCCTGTGTGTGGTTTAGCTAACTTTGTTCTCCTCACTGTTTACTCTGTCCCTACTTGTGTGCTGTCTTTGCTTTGGTCTGTAGTTGGTTGTGTTGCATATACAAGTAGTTAATTATATTCAACTCAGGCTTGAATTTCCCTTGATGTTTCCTTTTTCTCTCTTTCCATATCATTATGAAAATAAGTGGTAAACAGCTAAGCAAGATCTCGATTCTAGATACACGGAGGTTTTAGATACTCCCATGACACCCCCTTGCTTTGATCTGAGCACTGATTCAAATGTGTGAGAACTAATCCTTTGCTGCTGAAAGTTCCCAGAGTTCAAGCTCCATGAGAAAAAGAACAGATAAATATTGCATAATCGGAGCCCGCTTACAGCTCTAATCCTTTTCCAAATGGATGCTCGGATGCTGCTCTCCCACCTCAGATCCTCTGTCCACATGATAAATTTAAGCCAGTTATTTATCTTCATTAAACTTATGTGTAGCTTCTAATAGACCTTACTCAAAGTTTTGGTCCTGCTACTAAACAGAAACCAATGAATTTTTTTTTGTTTTGTTTTAATTTAAAGTAAATCATGTTTTATGTGTTTGTTAAAATTTTGATTCCTGCAATTTACTACATACATCCTGATGAAAAATCTGTTCCAAGACTTATCCATGAGAGAATTCCACTTTCAGCAAATACAAACTGTTTTTAATTAAAAGTGCATTTTCTGTGATATTGCTGTATTTCTGTACGACAGATGAATATAATTACATGCTCCAATCTTGAATCCTCTTCTGTACTACTACTACTACTACTACTACTACTACTATATTTTAAAGTCCTGGGTTCAGAGAAAGTCACAACACTGATACTGAATATGTATTCCTGCCTTTCCAGTTGCTGCACACTATAGATCATCACAACAATTTTAACAATCTGAGAGGGTTTTAAAATTTCTGCCATCCTTAAAGGAGTACTCCTCCAATTTAATGGTGCACTTTTCTTGTTGCTGGAGGGAGTTATGAGAGACAGAGAGAAAGAATGGTCAAATCAAAGCAACAGAAATATCCAGCCGTTCTCTCTCTCATTTCCTGCAGTTTTCTAACTTGCTGTTTGCACCTGCAGTGTTGTATCATGTGAAGTCTGAACCTGAGCAGTAAGGCATGTCTTGGACAAAGTCAAATGATATGAATGCATGTAATAATGATTGTAACGAATTAATTGAAAGATTTGAATTTCATTTAGGTTTCAAGATGTCACATTGTGCATCTCTTTTGGGATTATAAGACACCTTCACCAAACATCAGTATCTACAGTGCAACAGGAAGCTGAATCCAGATGTGCTGGTCACAGATTTGCTCATGTGTAAACAAATATCAACCCTTATTGATATAGTAGTGAGTCCTAAATCCCAGAACTGAGTTAGCATTTTTGGACTTCCGGTTCCCTCACCCTGAAGTCTGGTTTTTTGGCTGGGTTTTTGGTTAGATGCATGAAATAAGGTCTCTGGTTAACACAAAGCCGATACGTTTTCACATTTTGTTTTGTGAAATAAAATGTCAGTACTCATTATTTGAAATACTTTTACACATCTTGAAGGTGGTTGCTAACAAGTGGCTAAATCAGACTACAGAGGCTGTCTGTGATGTTACATGTCATGATGGAGTCTCATCTACTCACTAGTCTGCCTTTAGAGCCTCGTTATTTTGAGACTTGCAAACTATTCTAACTGGCACAGCCATGATCACTGTGAGTCATTCATATTCATCAGCTCACTGTAGCCTTTATATCAAAAGTCCCAATGCAAAGGTCATGATTCCTCAAAATTGCACATTGGGCAAATTGAGCATAAATTATGTACTGTAAACCTGTTTTTCTTAATAACAAAAAAATTCACATAAATATTTGTTTAATTGTAGTTAATGTTACTTAGTTTTAATCCATAATCAGATCTTATTGTCATATATGTAATCTTGTGAAACACCTTTAGAGAGACAGTATCAATCTTCACTAACTAGTACAGGCCTTGCTTCAAGAACAGTGGCTTCTACACTTTGTATAATAAACCTGATAAAAGTTCCTCCAAAGCAACAAAAAATAAATGAATTAATAAGTTAATAAATAAATAAATCTGACTGATAAGAGCACTGACTTTTACCGAGCAAAATTAATGAAGTGAGCGTGTGCAGTGCTCTGGTATCTGCTGCGTTGGTCCAGTGTCAGAAATAAATGTGCTGTCTGGACAAGCCACCGAAGAATTGCTGAGATGTTTGTTCCGGCATCTCATCCCATTATGTAATATGCCCAAGCTGAACTCTGACAGAGGTGAGCTCTGCTGTCTTTAGATGAGCAAGAGCTTCTGGGTTGGCATGGCAGGAATGTGAGCCAGCATCTATGTGATGGCTGCTACCAGCTCTTTGTTTCCTTGTGAATGAACCTGTTGCTGCGGCATTGTATCTTTTTTTGTTGTTGTTGTTGTTTTTTATTTGACACTTTCATTGTCTCTGATATGGATACTCCATTTTTTGTCTTCCTGCTGTAGTTAACACAGAGTCCATCTTTCTGTCTTTTTGCAAGGCAAAGATTCTTTCTGCCATCTGTACATGCAGTATTCAGTCAAAAGACAGATGTGCAGCTTCAGTAGGCTTATGACAAACTGTCAGTGATACTGTTAAGACTTTGAAAACTGCCTGCACAGCCTCTTTATACTGTAGGTGTCTGTCAGCATATTTCTCTGTACTTTTCACTCTATCTCTTCATGTGCCTTATTCTTCACATACACATGACACTTACTGTACATCTGTGTAATTACAAACACATCTTCACAAACTCCTACTTGTATTGGTGCAATAGACAGAAGGTTTTTGGCTATTGAATTGTTCATATCTCTGTATTGGACTCATTCCACTAGTCTGTATCTTGACCAACCGATGGGAGGTAAGATATGGTCTGGCCCATCTATTTCTCTTTGAGGAAATTCAGCAGTCTTGTTTTCAGTCTCCTTGCTTCTTTCCTGGAGGAAGAGCCTCTTTCTGCCGCTGCATGTCAAACTAAATCTTCCCTCTCTGGCCTCCAGTTGTCATCAAAATTCATACTATCTTTAACAGTTGATGATCAAAAAAAACATCTTTTGTTAATCAGGATTCTTTTAAAATGAAGTTATAGTAAGCTATGAGGTTACAGGCAAGGTTAAAGAATCGCCTAAATCAGGGGTGGGCAAACTTTTTGGCTCAGGGGCCACAATGACTTTTAAAATTTGACAGATGGGCCGGCCCAGCACCAGATGCATACATATCAAACATAAACATATAAAAGGCATTACAGTGTTAATACTTACATTCACTTTTAGTGGGAACAGTGTTGTTGATCACCCTTTTTTTGCCAGTGCATCGAAGTCTGGTGTTAGTTTTGTTGTGGCAATTCTCAGAACAGATCTGAGGTGTTCAACACTCAACTGGTGATCTGTGGGGCTCTTTGTTGGTGTTCATCACACTAAAAGTCTGTTCACACACATAGGTAGAGCCAAACAACACCAGCATCCTCTGTGCCATCTTCTGGATGTTTGGATATTTGGCTGCACTTAATGAAGCATAAAACTCATCCAGTTTAAGAGACTTGAACTTCTCCTTTTAAGATGGTGTCACACTGGAGATCAATCAGTTCCAACTCCAACTCCTGTGGCGCCATTTCAGGGCCTTGTGTGAAGGGACATGACACCAGCTGAAGTGACTTGTCAATTTTTCCAAAATCGGAGAACCGACGGCAGAATTCTCCGTGCAGGTCGTCCAGTGATTTCCTGTATTTTTTCACAGTTGAGGGGCCTCTTTCAGCATAGCCAATGTGGGGAAATGAGCAAATGACTTATTTGACATTTGCTTTGAGAATAAAGCTAGCTTGGTTTTGAAGGCTCTGAGGTTTGTGAACATTTCGTGCACAAACTGATCTTTCCCTTGTAGCTTCACGTTCAGCTCACTCATGTGTCAGTATGTCCCCAGCAAAGGCTAAATGACAAAGCCATTCGGTGTCACTCAGCTCAGGAAAGTCGTCAGCTTTCTCAAGTAGCTCCAAAAATGAGCTAATCTCCTGTTTGAGCTCCCACAGTCGTTGACATACTTTCCCCAAACTTAACCAGCGGACATTAGAGTGATAAAGCAAGTCCTGGTGATCAGGGTTCAGTTTCTTCAAGAAACTTAATAAACTGACGATGCTGAAGTCTCCTTGCTCGAATAAAGTTAACGAGTTTTACAACCGTCTTCACTACGTGGTCAAGCTGCAATACGGATTTACACAGTGCTTCCTGGTGGATTATGGAGTGTAGGAAAATTACCACCTGCTTAGGGTTGTCCTCTTTCACCCTCTCCTGGATTCTTTTGAGCAGCCCGACATTTTTTCCAGTCA